AGAGGGATCATGGGTTGCTTCGGAAACAAGGTGAGTTTGGATGGCAATTATTGTGTAGATGGTACATGCTTGTTCTCTCCTTTTGCTTCATTTTGAATAGAATAAAGATGCTAAGGCTGACGCATATCTTGAATTAGAAATTCTAACTGTATATGTGGCTGACTCTTATTGTGCGTTGAATGTGACCTACTTGCAGTTTGCCTCATTAGCACTCTCATTTCATAGACCAGTTTTTATAAGCTTAGCATCACTCATCATCTTGAATCGGGATAAGAACCTTTAAGCTTAGCGAGCGGCTTTATTCCCACGCCAAACTCAGTTTTTTTTTGCTGTATCTCCCGGTTTTAGATGCATCCAACTCAGGTTAGCCCAATCCCTCTGAAATTAGATTCGAGAGGATTCACTTGAGATTCACACAATCTAACAACTAACAAGGATCCAATGTGACATTAATCGAGTACATGCAAGAGTTATTCTTTTTTCGATATGCTTTCTTGGTTCCTCCGTCCACGAATTCATAAGTGCACAGGTAACGAAATCAGTATCGCTTGGGCGAATTGATTTTTTTAAGGTATGTTTGGACAAGCGTGCTTTAACTGTGGTCATTGTTTTGTATAAGGTTCAATCTTTGGCGGACATATCATAAGACCGTTTAAAATAGGCAGTTAATTTTTTATAAAGACTATGCTGTATATAAAAACTAGGTTTTAGAACTCAAACACGACATAAACAACAGATAACTTAGGAATAGGGCTCTTTTGATCGGTCAAAATGTGAGTCTTACGGAAAAAATTTCAAATAAACACATTCTATGGACAAAATCAAAAGTGATTTGGAATGCACTCTGCGATTGACCCAATGGTATGGGCATTTTCATGCTTTCAGTTGGTGAATCGATGGTTATGGATTCGAATATTACCTAATAAATTTTGATTTAAGTGAGGGATCATGACAGCAGATTGCTGTACTAATTCTCTTGACAGGTTATTCCTTTAGATTAAAAAAAATAACAATATGAAAAGTAGAGCTTTTCAATGGAATATAGTACGACTCCTATTTTACTGTTCTTTGATACGTTATTGGCACGTCTATTGAAGTAAATAGACCCAACAATTTTTCGCACTTTAATGGGACTTCATATGACGGGGTGCTAGTTTTGGTACTATAAATGAGAGATGATAGTGATTGATGTTCTCTTCAGGGATGCATATCCATAAGCCTGTCGTTGCACCAAACCAGCTTCTGCTTCGTGTGCAGTCACTTGGCCTCCGGCGAGAAGGAAGGCGACGAGCTCAAGCGAAATGCCGACGTATGTGAAATTCTAAAAAGCACCCAGTTTCCCAAACTCTGCAAGAAACCCGATCGGCGAGACCCCGAAAAGATATTGGATCACGAGTACGTTATCAGTTTCTTTGAAATAATGCTGAGTGTACTCGTACTAATTTGCAGAATCGAAACGTTAATGAAAAGCAGGTGTTACCGACTGTTGCATATAACATGCTCGCTTAAGTCTCTACTTGATGTCCGTCACATTAACTGATATGTTTATCGTGTGAATCAATCTTCGTATACTCAGCACTTGTAGAGGAATATGAAAGTTGAATTGATGTGACTCCAAGAATTGATTGTCTTATGGCATTTTTGTCACGACACAGCCGGGTTATCTGGATGGGAGATCTGAACTATCGAGTTTCGTTGAGTTACGAGGAGACGAGGTCTTTATTGGAGGGTCATGACTGGGACACTCTCCTCGAAAAGGATCAGGTTTGTTTCTACGCATATAATACAAAAGATGGCATCGTATACCAAACATGGTACGTGTTTTGCTACTTGAACTGCATGTGTATGTGCCTTGTTTTTTTGCTACCGAATGACGTACTTTTCAAGATATGTTTTGAATGCTGAACTTCTGAAGGATAATTTATGAAGTATAATTTACTTTCATGTTTTTAAATCAAGGGTGTTCATGACATTCATTCAAGATATAAATTTCACTTTAGTATGTAAAATCAGAGTAATTCTTACATGGTAATTTCTTCGGAAATACGGTAGCTTTCTCGAAGGCATCGAGTCTGTGCAACACGTCAAACATGGTATCCGTATTCTGATTTCTCTGCAACAAGTCTGTACAATATTCCTGTTTCTTCTTAGATCTCCGGTTATATGCTCATATGCTAAGCTGAATTCTAAAAATTTAGTACAGTTGAACATCGAAAGAGAAGCTGGAAGAGTGTTCAATGGGTTCAAGGAAGGACGGATCCTATTCGCCCCAACCTACAAATACTCGCACAATTCGGATTCCTACGCTGGTGAAACCGTCAAGTCCAAGAAGAAACGCCGGACTCCCGCATGGTCTATCCCAAGAATCCCACCTTTTTCCTTTTTGATTATCCAAGAAATTTCGAAAATATTCGAGTCGCAACTCAGTATTGACGTGTATGCCAGGTGCGATAGGATACTATGGAGGGGAAGCGGGATCGAGCAGCTGTCTTACATTCGAGGGGAGTCGCGGTTCTCCGATCACAGGCCCGTATGCTCGGTGTTCGCGGTGGTGGTGGAAAGGAGCAGATCGACAGCACGGTACAGGAAGGGGAATTCGTGTACCGGCTCTAGAGTAGTAGATTATGGTGAGTGCATACCCCAAAGGCATAGCTTGAATGAACTCTGAAGCCTAACTGATTATCAATGCTTGTGTTTCAAATCTCTCTCTCTCTCTCTCTCTCTCTCTCTCTCTCTCTCTCTCTCTCTCTCTCTCTGTGTGTGTTTTCTTTTCTTGTGGTTTTTTTCTCTCTTTCAAAAATGCCTGTTGTACAAAAGTATGTCATCTCATCTCTATACAAGTTTTCCCCGCCTCAAGCGCGCATCACAAACTGACAGGGAAACAAATTTTTCACAGCAGATGCCCAAAATGCTTAGGAGGCCAAAAGACTTGCATGAATTTGTTTCGTTTACTGGTGATATGCATGACAATGTTGATTGCCAAAAATCTTGCACAAGGCAACTATTGTCATTGCCACAAAATATCATGTCCGGAAACTTGGAAATTACACTGACCGTGCCGCCAATTCCAATCATCTCCACAATCCCCGACGGTTGCATGCTTTTAATCGCCTTTTCGTACACAGAATTCGGATGTCAAAATAGAAATGTGAAGATGCTAAAGATTCACATTTTGATTGTGATAACTCTTAATCCCAATCAACTTATAAGTTACTTAATAGCGCCCAAAGAATACTATTTGGAAATTGTGATCCATTTTTCACATTCTCTAGAATTCTCAAGAAGTGGTCAACTAACATAATCTTGAAGAAAGTCTTAGGCGGTGGACAGCTTGAACAAGAGCGTGGAGAAGAAGCAAGCACAAGTTAGAAGTAATAAAATAATGAGAAAATATTGGGTGAGTTTAACACTCCACGTAGGATTTGCACAAAACCACCCACAAATTGACACGTAGCAATCAGGGCCCACATGTCAAGGAGAAAACTTGTCTCTCTCCTCTCTCTCACGCGCTCTGCTCTCCATCTCTCTGTGACCCCACGCTCAACGCCCTCTCTCTAACACCTTCGCTCATATTCTAACAAGCCTTCTTCAATTCATCTCTCCTTTGAACTCAAGTCCTTCAAGCTTTCTAGCAAAAAAAAAAAGGTCCTTCAAGCTTGACTCCGCCATCTGCGCCCGCACCCTATCCATGCCTCACCTCCCCGACCGCCGCGCCTTCCCCCTCTTCCTCTGCGGCCGCAACCGGCGACCTCGAGGATGACGAAGAAGCACTCCCGAATCTCGTGGTCGATCCAGAAGCTGCTGCGTTCAGTCTTCAAGCCCGAAGACCAGCTCTACCCCGGCGTTCGGCGTCGCCGGTCTGTACTCCCCCGTCGTCGGCGAGGACGACGGTTTTTACATTGGGTACGACAAGTCCGGCGCGTTGACCGGAGTCCCCGGAGGTTGAATATCTCGGGAAGTTGTCGCCGGAGATGGATCGGAGGCGATGGCTACTAGAAAGAGCAGAGCTAGTCGTGCATCGGGCGCGAGCGAAGGCGTTAGAGAGAGAGAGGGGGTTGAGCGTGGGGATGCAGAGAGATGGACAGCAGAGCGCGTGAGAGAGAGGAGAGAGACAAGTTTTTTCCTCGACATGTGGGCCCCGATTGCCACGTGTCAATTTGTGAGTGGTTTTCTGCAAATCCTAAGTGGAGTGTTAAACTCACCTAATGAGGAAAGAAGAACCAAGGAAGTGGATAAGAAAAGTCCATGCAAGCCTACAGCCTGCATACTGGAAGAATCCTCTATGGCGGTTGATGATGTCCATAAATAGGCTTGAATGAAGTGAGCTTATAAATCCACATCCTTAGCTCCTCCACCCATAATCCTCCATCAACTATATTTGTACAACTATTATGTCCAACTAATGAAACTATTTTCTTTTATCCCATGACCTATATCCTTGAACTATCCTACCTTATCCCTTGTCCATCCTCTACCAACTATACCATACACACATACACTTGCATACATCACAAAAACCACAAACTATCATCGATATGAAACCATGTTTCCGCACAACCTACAATTTTTTACAAATACATACTCTAATCAACTGGAAGAAGAGAGAAGGCAATAGAGATTATTCACCCCCCAAAACTGAACTGACATTTAAGCCGTCCGGTTCCTTTATTTGTATATCTCAGTCACTGTCTACTTCCACTCCACGTACTTAAGATCCCAAATAGAAGCTTGCTCGTGTACATGATCATGTAGAGCTGCCGCAGCCATTGCCGTCTCTCTCGAAGAGGGGCTCCCATTCAAGTGCAAGTCTTCGCGGTGCATCTCAAACGCGTTGGGCAGCATCAAATCCTCTAAACCGCCCGTGCTCCTCCAATAGCTCATGTGGTCACGATGAGCGTCACCCACTGTAGCGCCACATCTCTGTCCTACCTCACTTGAATGGGAACCACCAGCACCAACACCAACACCACCTTCCTTATCAGCCTTGTGTGAACCCAAACTCATCCATCATCCAGAGTCAGCATTGCACTTTGCATCAACGTGTGAAGGGGACTGAGTGGCCTGTTCTCGTTCTCGTACAGTTCAGTTCGACTCTCGGCATCGACCAATTCGAATTGATTCTCAGCAACATTACCCACTTTAATGCTACCGCTGTCGCCATTGTCATCGTCCCTTTTCTCAGTTCGATAAACGCACTGTGACTCATGATCGGTCCTCGAATTTCTGTCGTTGAACCCCAAGCTCAGCTGGCTCTGCGGGCACTTGGCATTTTGGCAAGCGTACAGCGTGCAGTCATCGACCTCTCTGTGGAACCCGCACTTCCTCTTCTCGGAGCTGCTCATCATCATCTCCCTGTTCTCTTCGTCTCTCTCTTCTTGGGAAGGCGAAATCTTGAGGCACCTCTGTGTCTGGAGCAAGCGGGCCTCCTCTTGTTCGACAACCTTCAACCAGATGTCGGTCTCCTTGGCTGACATCTTGTCCTGCAAGCACTTGGAATGCCTCACTAGCCTCCGCATCCGGTCCTAGTTCGGCAACATGTGCTTGATGACGGCGGCTAGAACACTCACTTTCCAGGCCTTTTTCAGATCGTGGGGCTTCTTATACGGCGGCGGCCCTTGTTCTTGCGCGATGCCTTGGTCGCCCCACCAGAGCTCAGTTCCGGTGGGCCACCACGAAGGAACCAATCCTTTCTCCATCGGGAACTTCCTCTGCGGAGGAGCACAGTGCTGGATGAGAGCCGATAGGATCGACCCGAGCGTCGTGTCCTGCGATGAGGGCTGTCAATTTTTGATACGATTTGACAAAGACTGTAATTCTGCAAGAAGTGTACGAGAAAAATTCAAAAGTTTCCTTGAGACGGCCAATCTCCCCCTCGGAGTTACGAAAGCAGACACCACACCAACCAATACCATCGACTATTGACTAGATTTTTCTGGAAAGCAGATATTGACAACGAATTCAACGAGTGGACACGAAGCCTACCTGCAAGTCAAGGAGGAGGTGCATGTGCGAACTGGGGTCGAGCTCGCCAGACGCATCGAGGACTTGAGGCATGTACTCGGCGATGGCAAGGGGGGCGTTCCGGTCGAACCTCACCGTCTCCTTCCACCACTTGCGGAGGCTCTCGGAGGAGCCAGTGACCGCCTTGCCGTGCTTGGGGACGATCCCGTACACGAAGCCCCGCGCGTTGCACACCTCCATGGTCTTGACCATGTACTTGAGGATCGAGTCCTGGGCCCGCGCCATCTTCTTCCTCTGGGACTCCTCCTGCTTGGCCAGGGGCTCATGCCGGCTTCCCGTGGCTGCGAGATCCCGCTGCTCCTTCAGCCTCCGGAGGCGCATGCGGTCCTTCCACGTGCGCTTCTGGAGGTCGTCGTAGCTGATCTCTTCCTCCTCCGGGTCGCCATCCTCGTCTCGATCCCTGACCGCGACCTGGACTCATCGGCTCTATTACTTCGCCGTCGATTTCGACCATGTTTGTGTTTCTTTGAAAAGCTGGAAGCCTGAAACTTCTCAAGGGTTTTGGCGAAGGAGGAGAGAAGTGGATCTTGTGAGAAACGAAGGGTGCGTGCTCTCTCTCTCTCTCTCTCTCTCTCTCTCTCTCTCTCTGTAGGATCAGAATGGTGTTGAAAAAGAGAGTGACGTTCGAGGGATTTACGCGAGGGTGATGGGAGATGATGCGATCGCAGGCACGAGTAAACGTGAACGTCTCCGAAGCGATGCATGCAGGCCACCTCCTGCATGTGCATGTGGGTTCTCCTCTCACACGAGCACGTTCGTTTTGAACACTTTGACTCCCAGATAGACATTAGAAGATGTGGCAGCTGCGCAAGGCTCACGTCATTTAATAGTTAAAATGAGGAGGATTTGACTAATTTTAAATGAAATTATCTTTTGCTAAGTTAAAGCTGAAAGCGACAGGCTATTTTTGTTTGGCACGTCAGTGAGAAATTATTGAAAGAATCTAGTGGGACCTTTCTTAGAAAAATTGTGTAAAAATTCATAATCATGTCTTACGGTGATCAATTCAGTTCTAAATCTTTTAATTATGTCAATTCGATCTCGAACTTTTTGATGATTTATCAATTTAGTCTTTTTGACAAATTCCTACGTGACGCAGTCAACGCTGAGTTAAATAATTTCTGAAATTTTTATGAAATTTTCTTTTTTATTTTCTTTAATTTATTTGCTTTTCTCTTTTTTTATTGTTAAGGGCCAGCGGGCTCGCCCGCACGGGCCAAGGCTTAGCGACCTCTACGGGCCACTTGGTAAGGGCCGCGACGCCTTGCCCAAACAATGTGAGGGGCTCGCGGCCCTCACCAGCCACAAGTGAGGGTCGCGGCCCTCGCCCGCCGTCGGCCCTTAATAATAAAAATATTAATAAAATAAAAGAGAGACAATGACACGTTGCCCCAATATCCCTACCTACAAGGAACAAGTGTTTTACCACTAGTTTATTCATAAGAGAAGGCGTCCTTATGAGATCAATACGCTACTATCAACCAAAGGCCTACTTGGAATTAATATGCACGATCTATTCAAGCGATGAAATCTTTGGAAGATTCATTTGCAAAATGAGATTCTAACTCCGAATAATTTATGTTTCAAAAATGTGACTTTAATTCTAAATGATTTTTTTTTATATATAAAGGTGGGAGTTCATCTTCAAAATACTTATGCAAAGTAATGCGACATTAATTTTCAAAGATTCACACACAAAATGTGATTTCAAATATTTTTGTTTGAACAAATTAATTTTTGAAGGTTCATTGCCAAGAGCGATTGCTAAATTTCTAATTATAGGCCTAGATCTTCTAGGGCGTTCAATTGATTTATACACATTTCCGACAATGAAAATTTCAATCTAGAGTGACCAAGTAAAGGGAGGAATCATTCTTACAACGAGTGACAAAAGATCCCTCTTTTTTATTAATCATATAGACATGCACATTTAACTTGTGAGGTTTTACGCATAAGGGTGGGCATCTAAAGGTTTAAGGCTCCCACTTCAATTAGGCAAAAAAGACTTTTCCCACTCCACGCCTATGTTGGACAATCATTTTCATCACTAATTGAAATGAGGGAACTAAGAGGGGATGACCACGGGTACGTAGATCCCTCCTCTCGATACCTCCTAATGGTCTCCTAAATGTGGTCGAGGTTTTAGATCACAGGCTGTGTGTGCAATGTGTAGTGTTAAAGCAATAAACATACTTCGAATTTCAATCAAACACCGCTTCTATATAATCCCCACATACATTCCATATACCACCTACAAAATAAAAGGTTTACAATCACGCCACCCCTTATAAATCCCAATCTACAAAAACATTTATCACGACGTTAGAGACTAATTTCGTTTTCCTCACGACTTTGATATGCTCTATCAATAAAGACCATGTTAGATAATAATCAATCAAGCTATTACAATCTAAGCCCTCTAAGTTTTATAGCCAAGTCCTCAGTGGAGTCACCAAACTGTTGCAACCTCTCTTTCTCGTCCAAAAGGCGAAAAGACAAATTTAGGGGTATTGCCCAAGAGGTGAGCCGAATGGCCCATCGATTAGGTGCAAGCTCTCCAAACCTATACCTCACGTGACGTTTGGACTTCGCTTTTTAGTTCTTTTAAACCTAAGGAATTCTAGGAGTTGTTACTGGCTATTTGGGGTCTGCTAGAAACCAAGCAAGACTTAGGAGGTTCGCCTCATATCCTAGGCAACCAGAGATTCTAATTTTATGCTAATGGCTATTAACGCCATTTCAGTACCACTAACTTGGAAAGTCGTTTGTTTAAATGATCATTCAATCTTTTACTATTTATGGAGATAAGGACACTAGAAGTGTCAAAAGTTTCGTACAAAGCTCACTTTAGTTCCAAAAATTTTTGCTAGCTTACTTAAATAGCAAATCGAAGAAAAAATAATCACTTAAGTGCCTCTGGCAAGAAATTTCTGTCGAAAATAATATGTGACTTTTATAATTAAAATTTTTATATGAATTGGAATATTTTTTTAAAAATTCAGTCCACATGAACGTGCAAAACGACGTCACTCCATCCAACACGACACCATAGTGCATAAATAATGTCATTCAATGCTCAATCCAAAGAAAACGTCACACGCTATAAACTAAATAGGGCTCAATCATCGTTCAACCCTTGCTCACCGTTGCAGCACTCTCTCCATCACAGTCCTTGGCTTACCGTCACTCACCGTCTCTATCGCTCTCACTAAGTCAGGTTCGTATCCTCTCTCACTCACTTAATTGGCTAGATGAAAAATTAGGACTCTCCGAGGGGGAGGGGGAATTTGGGCTATTGGTGCAGCCGTGGGGACAATGATGCTAGATGAGGAATCACATAAAGGTAAAGTGGACCTCGATTTGTTTTATCAATTCAATGTTAGCTTTATTACTTTTTGTCCACTAAACGACGCCTACTGAGTCATTATTTAATCAATTAGGTGCAATTATGGGGACCTTCATGTGAACATGTCGTCATTTCTACGTTGTAATTCCAAAAATTAATTTATTTTTCTTGGGTTCAATGTCGCGTGGGGGACAGATATAGCCATCACTGTCTGCTATGGTGGGAAATTTGTTATTGGCAGTGATGAGCAAAATATGCTAGTCCTTGTCGATATAAGTAGGCCATCATATATTGATTTCGTAAGGGGTATAGTGCAACAGTTACGATGCAAAATAGAAAATTGCATTATTGTGTTCTTGGGAATAGCTCGAAGGATAGTTTAAGATACTTCCATGACTATAATGATATTAAGGATATTGTTTAACATTATCTTCATGATGAGAAAGCTTTAGTTATGTTGAGTATTACGGTGATGATGCAGATGATGAGAGCACTCAAGTAGGAGAAGTAGGAGATGGTATTAAACCGAGTACTCAGGTTGGGGTGGATCTTTTCTAGATGAAGGAGAACAGGAGAGGCTGGAGAGGGAGGCAAGACATATAGTGAGTATGTTAGAGAGAGTTCAGCAAACGGGGACATGTCCTTGAGTCTCTGGTGAAAACATAGGTTATGAGAATTGACTAGGTTATATTGAAAAGTTGCTCTATCCAGTAAATCAGATGATGAAACTTTGCCAAATGTAAATTACTCAAGTGATGATGATGAGGAACTTGCACAGTCAAAACAAAAGTAGAGAGAACTTCAAAAAAAAAATTCCAGCATTTCGAGAATCGCATGAATCTCAACCACTAAAATAGGATGAAGGAGCTCCGGCTAATGGTAATGAAAATGAATATGAAGAAAGTGGCGGTGATGATGAGAGTGATAGTTTTGAGAATGAGCTTGAAGATGATGAAGTAGCTTTGCATAGAAGGAAAGTAAGTATCCTTCCTATGATTCAACTATTGCATGCCATTTATTGTCTGTAGGTATAAAATTTGATGATGCCAAATAGTTCAAAGAAGCTATTGTAAAGTACTTCATTGCTGAACATCGGAGTATTGAATTCGTTAGAAATACGAAGGAATTTGTAAGAGCTAAATGTTTTTTTTTTTTTGGTAACCGAGGTGTCCGGACCAGCTTGCGCGCATCTCAACTATTCCTCGGGGGAGACTAGCACAGCAACCCACCGCCATGGCCCCCCACTTAAATCACAAGTGCTCAGCTGGGGAATCGAACCTAGGACCAGTGCGCCTAACCACATAATCCCAAGTTAAATATTTTTTTTTTTGGTAACCGAGGATCCGCCACTATTCCCCGGGGACGAGCCCGCACGGGTAATCGGAGCGCCTATACCTCGGGGGAGACTAGCCCAGCAACCCACCGCCAGGGCCCCCACTTAAATTACGGAACCGAGCGGGGATTCGAACCCAGAACCTCTAAGGAGGGAAGGAAAGCGCCCACCAACTCGGCCATGCGCAGGTGGGTTCTCAAGTTAAATGTTCACAACCAAATTATTCATAAAAGATCTATGATGCACTGAGTAGGAAGAGCGGCTCATTCCACATTTGGTTATTGCAGGAGGAACAAAGTTGTTCCATCATATTTGACAATAAAATGGTAACTCATGTATTATTGTCGAAGCACTTCTTTAATACTATTAAGGCAATACTAGAGATCACGAGTCCTCAGTTGAAGTAGTCAGTGAAGGAGCATGTAGGGTTAATGTGTCTAGGAATTAATGCAAAAGAGTTAAACATAAGGTGATGAGTACACTGATGGTTAGGTATAAGGAAGAATATGCTTAGATTTTGGATTATGCTGGTAAATGTAGGTTTCAGAACCCATCTAGTAGAGTATATGTAAAGGTTGGATGGATATTTTTTAAAGGGTTATATAAGGAAGAGTTATTGGCTGCTAAAGGGAAAGATGTATATAACCAAATGTTTCCAATAGCTTGGGCTGTTGTCAAGGTAGAGAATAATGACACTTGATCTAGGTTTCTAAAAAATATAATGGTTGATCTTGAGATAATTAATGGGGGGGAAAATATTGGGTGGTCCCAGTGC